AACTACATAATGTATGCATTAATCTTACTATAATAGATGTAGTGTGTATGTCAGTATCTATGTATGTAACGAAAACTCCCACACCATCTATTGAATGGTACCACAAACAAAAATCCATAAAAAAAACTCACAATTTGGGTATTCAAGATTCAGACAATTAGAAAAATGACTGTGGTACGTGTAAAACCATTTCTCTATAATAGAACAGAATTTTAAATAAAAGTATTCTCCTCATAACAAGAACATGACTTTCACTATGACTGTACATGAGGGTTTGATTATCTCATTATTGATGTAATTTTTAAATTTATTACTGAGAAACTGGAGTTCTTAAAATAACAAAAAAAACTTATTTTCAATAAATGGTACCACTTTTAATATATTAAAACATTACAGTTTATCAGGGAAATGTATGAACATTTTGAGCTCTGTACATTGAATCAGTTTGCAATGAGCTGTGTCTGACTAAAGAGCACAATCTGAACACTTTTCCTGTGCAGTACTTCCTAGAAAACTTTTTTCTAAATTTTTTTTGTTTTGAAAGGTATGAATACTATGGTTAGTAATTACTAGCACAAACAGCTTCCCATAGGGTGGCGTTTCTGCTAGTTGTTGAAATAAATATGGGGTTAGAAAATGCAATATGCTTGTATGCTGCTGGTTGTCTTGCATTGATAAGTTTAAACTAAGTGAAACACTAAGACATTTCCTCTCAAAGTATTTCCTTTGTAAAATGAAATGCTATTAAATGAAGCTGTAATGATAATTTAGTGATTTCTAGTATGTTTTTAAGTGTTCAAATAACTGTCGAAAACATAGTTGTGCCTGGGTATTTCTTGATTCCATTAATTAGAATTCTGATTTTTCTTCCATTAATGTTATGTTTGGGAAAACTGTAGTTATTTTTATTCATATGTTCATGGACTTGGAATTTTTTTTTTTTTCTGGGATACAATATCTTAGCTCCTCTCACAAAATAACTTTTCTTGATTAGTACTGCCCTCTATTGGTACAAATTTTCAATGCTCGCCATTAGCCTTCCACCTCCTGCTTCTGAATATTCACATATAAATGATTATGCAGCAGCTCTCCACCAATAGGAGTGTGACACAATCTTAGTGTTTCTTTACTATGTTACCTTTTCTTTATTTCAGGGGCCTTTTTGCTAGTCCATTAAGTGTGAGTGTGTCTATATATAATTTTTTTTGTCTAAAAATCTGCACCATCCATTCTGTGACCATGCTTGTTATCAATTATGTTGTAGCTCTTCCTACTGTGGACCTGATGTACAATTCCAGATGCCACCTGGTGTAGATCGTGTGTGTCTATTCGATTGTCATCTATGTTGAAACAATTGTCACAGAATTAGGTTATGCACACCATAAAGATGGTGTGTTCAGTAGGACTGCTAGTAATTCTCTCTCTAATGGTCTTTGCTTCATAAGTATGTTTGTCCCAGTCCATCCACTCATGGAGACACATGAGTAAAGCAGACAGGGATTGTTGCCCATCTCTGACGTACAATTCCAGATGCTGCCAGGTGTTGGTTGGTCTACTCTGTCTACATGGTAGCTCTGCTTTTCAAAATAGGGTATCATGGTCACCCGTTTTACTGTCTCCAATGATGTGGTCCTCCATACTTTCCAACACATTTTTTCCCTCATTTCTTTTAGTGGTGTATGGAAGTCCTTGCCACTTACCAGTTCCTAGCCACTATGGTGGTGGACCATGGAGGCCTATCCTTTTGAGTGATGCATCACAACTCTTAGTTGAGAGTAGGTCAGTGGCATTCTGCAGGTGTCTTGTGTATAGCACTTCCTGCTGTGGACCTGATGTACACTTTCAAGTGCCACCAAGTTTTGGTTGTAGCACCATATCATATTCATATCTGGCATATTGCTTTTTCCCTACTTCCTACTATCCTATGGATGTACATTTCCAGAGGGACTGATGTTGGTTGGAGGTGGCCTGGTCACGATTAGAATCACGTATCAATGATGAGATACCCTTCCTACTGCAAACGTGATGTATAATTCCAGATAACGTCAGGTTTTGGTTGAAGCCCTTCTTCATGTCAGTTTGCCCTTCAGACTGAGGCATTTCTCCTACAATCCATCCTCCGGATGCTGTTCCCTGGGGGTCTGGTGTTGGTTGGAGATGATCCAGCTAAGTAAGTTCTCGTGTTCTGGCCAGTATCCCTCCTCCTATTGTAGACTGGATGAAAAAGGCCTAATGTTGCCAGGTTTGTGGTCACTTTTTCTCCCATCTGCTGGATGTCAGTTACCAGTGGATCTGGTGTTGGTTGTAGCTGGATGCAAAACATTTATTCCACCTTTTGTATGGCTGGGTATTCTCCTCCTACTGCAGATTGGAAGAACCATACCCAGTGCTACCAGGTTTTGGACTTGATGTCATCCCACTGGGGTATCCTCCTTCCTACCATCTGCTGGATGTTGGTTCATGGTGGATCAGGTGTTGGTTGAAATGGAAATATGTATACGCAAGTGGAGATGCATTTTGGTATGGCAGCTCGTCTTCCCTACCATGTCCCATTTAGAGGTGAAGAAGTAGGTGATACTTTGCCTACTGCATATCTTATGTACAATTCCAGATACAATCAGGTGTTAGATGAGGTTGAACTACCACTACGGTCTGTCGCTCACTTGACACCTAGGGGTCCCATTGATTGGTAATATGTATTTTGGGATTCCTTCAGGTATTTCTGCGTTTTATGTTTGCAACACGATCATAAAAGAGCGGAGTATACCTGGATCAGATGTGGTGCAGTCTCTCTCTCTGAGATGTGATATTTTTATTTTTGGTTCAACACCTTATGGTCTCTCTTTGGGTGCTTCCTAAAGGTGGGGGGGGGGGTAATTTTTCATCGGCCCTCTACCAGTTCATTGTGGGATTCTAGCTATTTTGTGATTGGAAAGTAAGACATCATATCATAAGTTAACATTTTTCCAAAACTGAAAATGTATTTCTGATAGATACTACCTCCTCTCACATTTCCCATCCAGCCTCCCCACTCTTGATGATAGGTAGTGTAAGTCTTCTGACCAATCTCGAAGTGATTAATGAGTGCAGATGTGGAGAGGGTGCTGGTTACAATAGGGGGTTGTGTCATGCTCCTATTAGTAGAGAGCTGCTGCATAATCATTTGCATGTGGATATGTAGAAACAGGAGGTGGAAGACTAGTGGCGAATGTTAAATTTGCATGGATAGAGGGCAGTACTAATAGAAGGAAGCTGTTTTGTGAAAGGAGGCAAGTATTTATCTGAAATACGTTTTCAGTTTAGAAAAATGTTAACTTTTGTAACTGTGAAACTTAAAAGATGATGTAACAACTCCAGAATTTTAAGATTGCTGACATAAAAGCAGTTCTGTAGGATTTTAGAACTGTGCCTTTTACCTACAACAATGATGAGTTTTGTTACTCAGTACAGTATTTGGTTACTGGGTTTTGTGGCTTAGCTTTGCATTTACAAACTCCTTGCAACATTTATTGTTTGGGTTTTGCAAAATAGCTATGTCTGACAATTTGTGCCAATTTTCCTATTGGTTTTGCTAGATTTAGCTGTAATTATCTCATGGATGTTGAATAACTAGGACTTTTTTCATACTGCATTTATGTACTTTAGTTTTATGTGGTAACTTCTATAATGCTTTCATTTTGTATATGTAGAAATGATAGGTTTTACTGAAAAAGTTACCAAAAATGTATGAATTCTTTGATTAAAGTAAGATAAACATTAAAAATAATTGCTTAAAAGATAAAACAGTTGGTATTATCAAATCTTAAGTAGTTTTTCTGTTAATAAACTACTTAAAACCTTTTAGTAGTAGCACATCTAAGCAATTTTTATTGTTTTGTGTTATCACACTTATGCTTTTTTTTTGAATAAACACTTGTCTTGTCAGAATTTCGATGCAAAACAAGCATCCAAACACAAGTTTTTGCACTAAATTATTTGCTAACAAAAATAAACTTGTAGAACTTTACTTAAAGAGGGATCATAAAAAAATTTATAAATATTAAAACCATATGTATGTCATTGTGAAAGAGAAGTTTTATTTTTAAATGTGATAACCTGGTATGTTTAATAAAGCAACTAAAATATTCAAAAGTGTTAAATTTTAATACTTGTAAAAAAAAAACGCAACCATACTTCAGTTCGTGTATCAGAATCAGTCTATGGAGTAAGTTACTGAAAACGATGTAAACTATTAAATGAAAACTGTTAGTGGTAATGTAGATTGGATAATCTTAGTGTATCGGCTATAAATTTGTTTTAATGTTGTTTCTGTATTGCACATCTTCTATTGACCATATTAGTGCTAGTCAACTTTGTATTAAAAGTGAAAATAATAATCTAGCACTTGTAGTGATGACGAATGAAGTAGTATTTAAAAATTAAAACAAATCTTTAAAAGTTAGGTATTAAAAATTATTTAGATCAGAGTATTGTGCATTAAGAAGTTTCAGCACTTGGGAATACAAGATCTATTTGATAAGACAAGAAAATAAACATAAAATGAGCATCGGTTAACATGCACCGAAGGTGACTTTCAAGAGCTTTTATAAAATGTCTTTGCCTGTTTTTGTTTTTCTTCAGAATATTTTTAATGAAGTTGTACATGTATTACAGGTTACTCTTAAGATTGTTTTATTACAACAGTAATCTATAGATTAAATTTACATTGCTTATGTAGTAAATAATCCACTGTGCTTTGGAATACCAACACCTACTGCAATTAAATTTTTGCAGTTTATGTATTAATAATTTGATATTTTGGTTTTGTATTATACAAACTTTTAAGTTATTTCAATTTTACTTTACCAAATAACGTATTTTGATTAATAAGAACCATAGGCATGAAAAATAATGTATGCATAATGTTAATATTTATCTTGCATCTCTCTAAAATCTGTTTCAGTTTATTAAGTAGTTGCATGTTTTATTCTCTGCATGGGTTGATGCATGATCAAATACAGATGTTCAAAAGGAAAAGGTTCACAACTCCCTTCTGCAAAATGTTGAAGGATTTCAACGCTCTAAACTTAACCCAACACAGCCCAGGGAAAAAATCCGTCTGCCCAGTGCTGAAGGTACAGTAGTTTTTATTTAATCCTAAGTCTTATTTCTCTGTGTGATGACGTACTTGTTCCTGCACCGTTCAGTGCCTTTATACGGCTGATTTGGTGTTGTACCAACATTTTATAGACAGGTAATATTCATGTTTATTTAGTAAGAAACAAATTTGTTCTGAGAGACATCTTTAAGCTCTTTGGATACCAATGATAAGGTACCACACACACACTTTAATTTAAAGGAATTTTATATCTTCAAGATTAGTTGAAGCTTTATGCAAACATTCAGATAAACTGATTTAAAAAAAGGGATAAAATTTGAATACTCGGAAAATAACTGAAAGATTTATTATTGTAATTCAAACAGTTAAATTACAATTAATTAATTTTAATTCATAATTATTAAAACATTATATTTGTATCTTCTATATTTTTGAATAAATTAAAAAAAGAAAAGTAGTGTTTTTCATTTAAAACATAATTTACTATATAAAATTTGTGGAATGCTTTTTTTTTCTCTGTGTTATTCAAATTTGGATGAAATGTGTGTATGTGGTTTTTAAACTTTTGATTGCATGAAACTGTAGGTTTGTTTTTATTTTTGTCTTGGAATTTTGTGATCAGTTCAATGAGTGTTTGCATGTTTTTTCTATGGCCAATATATGAAAACAGATGTAGAATTGGAGAAAGTTCACAACTCTCTGCTACAAGATGTTGAGGGATTTGAACGTTCTTTGCTTAGCCCTACACTTCCTCATGAGAAAATCCATCTACCCAGTGCTGAAGGTATAATAATCCTCTTTTTTAAGAATGTGTTTATTATATGTGATATAATTGAAAACAAATATTACCAGTGTAAGTTGCTTGTATCAATTTTATAGAAGTGATTATAATTTTTTGTAACTTATAGATTGGTAACTGACTTGTGATAACCTTGCTTAGAAGAAGGTATTATACATAGAATTAAATTCTTCCAATTTTAATTCTGTTATGTCGCTTGACAAGAAGAAATTGCATAGAATGGTGTGGTACTAAAATATTCTGATTAGGTTAAACAAATTGATGTTGCCATACTTTGCCAAATGGTTATTAAATGATTCTTACTTCACATAGCATGAAAGCTTAGAAATAAAACCAAATGAAGTGAAGACTTAAATTTGTAGGATTTAAAGGTCTGATTATACATGGCTTAGATTTGACTAAAACGTTTGCCATTGTCAGCAGATGAAATTCCAAGCTTCTTACTTTTTTGACATCACATTAATAGACCATGGTAAGTGAAAAAGTAACATTTTTACAATAATGCTAAGGATGTAAGTGATAGAAGCAACATCATCTTGGCTCACTGTTAATTACTGCATGAAAAATTACATATTTTCATGACTATATTGTTTTAAAACTGTGACTAACTAGTTAGGAATCACTGATATATTATCAAATTAATGCAATACTATCCAAGGTAGAATTAGTCTTTCACTGTTTTTTGTGATTGTCTAATCATATTTTAAATTTTATGTTCTGTCAGACTAAAATCTTAAATAGGAAAGTTTAGACACAATGATAATGGGGAGGGAGGAACAACTAATTATTGGTATTAAGTTTTAAGAAACTTATAGAAGCTCCATACTTAAAAGTACAAGTAACTTAGTTTTTCTTAACTTTTTTTTTGCAGTCTGGCAGTGTAGAAAGGTGAAACAATTATTTAAACTTTGTCTCGCTTTCTTAAGATGTTTAATACATAGAATAAATTATTACTGAATTAGATTATTTGAAATTATCAAAACAGTTTCATTTGGGGAAATGTTTTTAGCTAAGGTGTAATTTGAAGGTTATAAGTTATTTTTCTTTCCAAGACCATTTTAGGGTTTTCATGTTTACACCTAAGAAAAGTAAATAATGATTTTCAAATCAAACTTTTTTTATGTGCAACTTAAACTGTAATTCAGAAAAAAATAACATCTTTCTAGGGGTTAAAGTAGTTTTAGGTGTAACTCTTTTGAAACCTACATATTCATATATTACCTCAGCGAAAGAGAAGTAAGGCATTTCATTACAGTCGGTACTGATTAGTCTTCTCAGTGCTATAGATATTATAAAACTTAAATATTATGTAAAAGCTTTAAAGCTTTGATTTTAAAAAATCCCAATAATTTTATTTTTAAAACCTATTACTGTATAATTATTTTGAATTATATATATATATATATCAGTGTAAACTTTCCTGTAATACAATTTAACTGGCTTTTGATACCAAATATTTGTATTTTCTTTTGTCTTTGGATAATATTAAGTACAAAATGTTTACACTTACACATCAAATAAGATTTACAATATGAAATTTATATATACATGTGTATTGTTTTTATGTTGCTTGCAAATTTGTATTTTTAAAAGTTGTGGTACAGGAAATTGTAGATTTTGATTTTGTTTTTACATAGCAAATTGACAGAAGCTCTGTAATTAAGAGCACAAACTATTTTTCACTTTCAAATTGTCAGTGTTGAAAGGTAAAACTGGTCATTTGAGTAGAACAGGTATATGATCTTTGACTAGATTTTCTCAGGATGTTTATCATGCAGAATAACTCGATTTTATATATATAAAATTCTTATCAAAACAGTTTCACTTGTTGATGTTGGAGGCCATAAGTTTTTCGATTTTTCTAAGACAATTTTTGTAGCGTCAGATAGTAATTTAATTTTTCCTTCTTTTTCATGGTTTGATATAAATAATGTTCCTTATTTAATTTTTTCTATTTGTTTATAATTTAGAATATTTATATTAATGAATTTTTAAAAAAATAAAATGTATGTTGGGATTTCTTAAATTTAAGTTTCAGAGATTTTAAACTTGATAAGATAATTATAAATATGAAATTTAAGATCATATATTTGATTTCTGCTTTATAAATTTTGTTATAATGCTGAGGAATAACTTTAAAGTCAGCATAATAGCCCAATTTGATTAAAATAAAGACTTTCTGATTGATTTATCACATTAAAAGGATTCAACATGTGAATACAATAATTTGCATTCTACCAACTCAGATGTAAAACAAGAAAAAATACACCAGAGTTTGGTGACTGGTGTGGAGCAGTTTGATAAAACTTCCCTTCATCATGCTGAGACAACAGAAAAATCTGTTTTACCAAACTCTCAAGGTATCATTTTATAATGCCATGTTTATCAATCACTTGTTACCTGATCCTTGTGTTCTGCTAACATTGTCGTGCAAGAAACGGTACATTTGCTTAAAAAAAATATCCATAACACTAACATGAATTCCTGTAACAATCATCAGTGTTTTATTTAGTTCAGGGGAAAAACATATTCTTACTAGCTTTTGCTAAGTACAGCTTCCTGGCTACTTTAGTTTTGTGTACACTTTTCCTACCAGCTTTTTTTTATCCTGAAGAAACAGTTGCTAGAATAACCTTAACTCTAAGCTTTTTTTAATGTGTTTTTGCCTTAAAGTTTTTAAAATCAATTTTAATCTATTTGTGATGCTTTTCAGCAATCTGTGTATTATTTTTGTTGGCATTGTGAATTATGATTATATTAAGAAATCCGAATGGTGATTTTATTTTTGTTTCTGTATGAACATTTTTATTAATTTTCTTAACATGTTAAGAAAATCATTTCATATATTTAAGTTGCATATTTATGTATATACACACATATACACTCAGAGAGGTTGAGTATGTTATTAAAATGATTTTGAAGCTTCACTGCATTTATATAGCCCACGTTGTCGTGTCAGGTTATGCTCTCTGACAGCCATGCATGTTGACAATCTTGCAACATAGTTTCTGATGCAAAAAGCTCTTTCATAAGAGTGTTATGTCAAAAGCACTCCACTGCTCACTGCTTGCTTTCCATAAGTGTATGAGGATGATAGTTTCCTAGTACTAATTTAAACAGTCTAAATTCACACTGATATATGTATGAAATAGCTTGAATACCCATTTCATTCTCCAACTGTTTGAGGTACATGACAGTTAATTGGCTGTAATGGAAGTAAATTGCATTTTTGTGACTTTTCTCTCTTTTACAAATGTATTATTGAATACTGTTGCCTGCAATATGTGGATAGCATTTGGCACTGACATTTGTGTTCATGGAATTTCAGCTGTTATGAGATGCTGCAATTTGCTTACCACAGCTGGGGTACAGCTTGTTACAGGCCTCTATGAATGGTCCAGGATCCCCAAGTTGATCCATATTCCTTTGTTTTCTAATGCCATTAAATACAAGGGATATTCTCATCTTGGAAATTCTAAAAAACTATGATTTGAACACATTTGGTCCAAGAATGAATATTTTGCATTGGAAAAGGCTTTTGCATACCCTTCTTATAAGCGATCACTTTTCTGTGGTATTAAATTACTTACAAAATGGCAAGCAATGTCAAAATGTAGTTCTTAAACATTCCCTGAGAACTTCTATTAGTTGTGGTTGTCAAGTGATTTGCTTATTTGCATATTCAGAATTGTTTTAATATAATATACTCGACACCCACTGTTGCAGGTCAGCAATAGAAACAAACGTTATTTATAAACAGTAAAGAACAAATTAACAACATGTACTGGTTAATATTCAATAGTCGTTTTTTCATTTAGTTTATCATATTGGGCTTTCATGTTCATGTTTATAGCACATACAAAGTAGAAGACTGTTATAATGATCAGATAATAATTCTATAATTTATGCTACATTTACTTCTTCAGATATAAAATCCTATATTTAAAATGTTTAGTCTTGATTTAAAACAAACTAAAAAATGGGATCGTTTTAGTGGCTGTTATATAGTTATTGTTTTGAATGTCAAAAGTTAATAGAATAAAATTTGGTATTTTTAAGGTTTATGATTAAAATAGCATATTCCAGATATATCTTAGTACAATCTTTTTAACTTGTACATTTATGTAATGAACAAGTTGTGAGGACTATGCAGTCTTGTGGAATTTTAATAATTATGCCTTCTACAATTTGGTTATCAACTACAAGTAAACTGTATGAAGAAAAAACTCGTAAATTTTTTTTCTGTTAAATCAATAATTATTTGAATTTGTATAATTTTTAACAAACTAATAAAGCAGGCATCATATGAACCTGGTGATTTTGGATATTTAGAAAACAACACTGATGAACTAGGCACATATTGTGAAAAATAAGGTAATAAATGAAAGTATATGAAAATATATCAAAAATAAATGAAACTTGCATTATAGGTAATGTTAAAAAAAAGGTTGCATCATAAGGTATAAATGTTCTACCTCTAAATTTTTTAACACTCTTCCTTCTTACTATACAGAAATTGAAAAGGAAAAAGGCCAACAACAATTACTAGAAGGCATCAAAAGCTATGACACTGCACAACTCAAAAACGCAACAACTAACTTGAAAAATCCTTTGCCAACAAAGGATGGTAAGACTAGTTTTAGAATGATTAGAATATCTGTAATAACTGGCTATTTTACCAGCATCCATACATACATAATGGTAAAACACTATTTATATATGCAAAATCTTAGTTGTGAGATTTCTTGAAGTGTACAAATGCAGAGATGTAGTTATATGTAGTCTACAAGATAATAAGTAAGAACCAAAATATCCAAGACTTAATGGGTATTATAGTTGATTTCTGTCTAACAAAAACACTTATTTTACTGGTTGTTCAGACATTTGTAATCACTCTGCTGGAAATAGTGGAAATTAAGTTATTTGTTATTAGTTATAAGTGTGGCTACCTAAGCTGATGAGTGATTGAATGAAAAGTGGACAGGTTTGTAAGATGCAGCATACGTCAGCTTGTGTCCTAATTATCATGTTCCTTTAACACTTGTCAGGATTGAGTATTTCTAACTGTGCTGGAGAAGATTACAAAAATTGTCATATGACAGCTGATAAGTCTGAAAAATCACTGCTTAACCAAGAAAGTGTGGCTTCACTGGTGCTTAAAGTACAAATGTAAATGTTGGAGCATTTAACATCATTTGATAAGTAGCATCTCAATCCCATTTGAAAGTGAAAGTAAAAATAATGAGATAAACCACCCAAGGCACTTATTTCTGTATGAGGTGGTGTAATAATGTGTAACCACTCTCCTTGAAGGTGTTAAGTCTTTAGAAGGATGAATAACATCCTGAGTATGTGTGAAGATTGTTGTAGATCATGCCCAATCTGAAATGCTTCATTTACACCATAATGGTGTTGTGTATTAAAATTTTGAATGGTCTGAAACAGAGCTAAATGATAATTTAAATTTAGTAGTTAAATAAGTGCTGATATGTATCCAGTTTGATATTTGCCAACAAAATTGATAGTTTTTTTTAGTACAAATGTATTATAATATACGACCAATAATACAATTTACAATACCAGTTATTACAAATAGTTATTACAGGCAATTATTTATATACAAACGTTTTACAAACTTACAAGCTATATAAAGTCTTCTTTCTACTCTGGAACTTCCTTGATATTTTATCGAAGGTTCACGATGAGAGAGTTAATTTCGAGTTGATGTAGGTACAATTCACTTAATAGGGAGTTAGTCAGCTCTGTAGTTTTCACTGATTACATGCCGATTACAGGTCAAGTTTTTTTGTTTTCATCTAAAGTTATATAATATCTTCATAAAAATACTAATGTCAGATGTGAATTCACTGAAGTTAAATGGTTTATAATGTTTGAAATTTATAAATGTTCCTGGTCAAATATCTGAAGTGTCCTGATTAATAAGTGTTATAACAATCAGTTGTACCTTTCAAAGTTTATAGCACACCAACTATAGCAAACCAATAATAGATACTGTTTTTAGGTGCATCGCGTTGGTTATATTTATAGGCATGTGGAGAGTTTCTCAATTTCTTACACAACAATACAAATGCTACACTAGTGTTTACGTACACACTTATATTGTTGATTCTTACACGAGAATTTTCTACAACTTTAGAGGATAGGCAGGAGTTTTGCAACACATTTATAGGTGTGTGGAGAGTTTTTTCCATTTCAGTTAATACAAAGCTATGCTATCATTTAAGTACACACATATATTGTTGATTCTTACACTCGAGAATTTTCTACAACTTTAGAGGATAGGCGGGAGTTTCACAACACGTATTTATACGTGTGTGGAAAGTTTTTCAGTTTCAGTTAATACAAAGCTACACTATCATTTATGTACACACATATATTGTTGATTCTTACATTCGAGAATCTTCTGCAACTTTAGAGAATAGGTGGGAGTTTCACAATACATATCTAACAGTACAAGTTATGTACATTTCTAAATATAACTTTAATTTAAACAAACATTGATATTAAAATAAACATATAATAATAATAATAATAATAATAATAATGAATCCATCACAATGAACATGAGCTCATACAAGATAATGTAACAGTCCACTAAAGCTGGGTGATCAGTGGAATGTGCTAATAAACGAATTGCTGGACCCATTAATTATTCTCACATGACTAATCTTTCTATTTTAAGCTTCTTTTAATGACACTTGTGAACCTCCCTTTGTTTGAATGCCTTATCTTTAAATACAATGTGTTTCTGAAGCAAAAGAAAAAAAAAACATGCCTTTAATAGTCTTTAATAAATGTGCTGTTAGTAGCAGAGTGTATTAAAATAAATATATTTCTGTGTAGAAGGATTTAAATATTTTTCTATCTACTGAATATCTTCATTTTTCAGGTAGATTGTGTTTGTGTATGTTTGCCTAAATGTTTTTTTATTTGTGTATTATAAGCATTTGTTCATTTTTATAAGTTATTGTAGAATAGTGCTGTTTGTGAATATATAAATTTACAGAAAAGTTGGTATGGCTCAACCTTTTTAGTAATAGTTCTGTTCCAAAACCTGATGATTTATACAAACTTGTTTTAATACACACAAATATACACTGGTATCTGTTCAGTTGGTATGGCTCAACATTTTTAGTAATAGTTCTGTTCCAAAACCTGATGATTTATGCAAACTTGTTTTAATACACACAAATATACACTGGTATCTGTTCTGTATAGCTGAGTAATTAATGGAAATTGCAACTTGATTAATCATCAGGCTTATTAATCAGTAATATTCAACCAATTTATTCTCACGAGTGAAAAAAAAAACAATCCAAAATAAAACTTGTAACTATAAAGCAGATTTTGAGTGCTAATAGCACAGGTAGCCCATTGTGTAGATTTGTGTTTATCAACAAATATAATGGCAATATTTCAATTAGTTGATGATAAGTTTGTGATTTGTGACACTAATTAAGCTGCAGACTTCAATTAATAGAAAATAATAATAGAAACATTCCAGTTATTTGAATAGTTGTAATACTATAACACATTAACAGATTTAATAAATTTTTATTAATTTATTATTTAATGTGACACTAATCGATGCTAGTAAGAAATCAATTTGTATCAGTTAATCAAGTTAATTGCCAAGCTCTAATGTTTTCATGTTTTTACCCCATACCAAATTAAGATGGTTCCTGTTTTTTAAAACTTAATCAGGCTGAGAATTATAGCCACATTTAATAAATGTAATTCACTTTCAAACATAAATAGTGATCATAATCATCCTGATTTAGGCTAGTTTGTTTCTGCATTAATTTCCATGGGTTAGTAAGTTCATTATTTTGAAAATTAAAATCTGAAGAGAAATAGAAGAAAAAAAAATACAAGCATTGAAGTAGAAGTTTCGTATTTTTTTTGAGTTTCTGCTGAAAGAAAATGTTTACACCAGAAAAACAACATAAATTTTGGAACTGAAATACTGTGATATTATCTTTATCATTAATCTTCACTTCTTACTTCCTCATCTTTTGTGATCATAGTCATAATCTGTACTTCAGTCTTATTCCCTTTTAAAATACTCATTTTATCTGGCAGAGTATCTAAAGTTCACATGAACCTTGAGAAGTAGAATCGTCTGAAAATTTTAAGCATGTTTTTTAGCACCTGAAATGCATTTTTATATGTTCTAAGACCTGCATATTTCATTTTTTCCAGTTACCTTTTCCTTTAACTCATTTGGTGATACCTTTAACCACTGATTCTGAGTGTTTGACAACAACACAATAGCATGATTGACTGCTTCATAATAAAAATATACAAATCAGGTGCTGCCGTACATCTTTGTGCTTTGCTGTTGTCTAGTCTTGGCAAATTTTATCTACATGGACAAATGTGCTGTTTTTACAATCAGATTGGAACTTGGTATTTTAATCTTTTATGGGATATTTTTTACAGCCATGGCAAATATTTCTTTAACCCAAAATTTTACGTCCCTCAATTTTTTTTTTTTATGAAGCACGGACTTAGAAGTAACATCTCACTGTTTAAAGTTTACCATGATTGATTTATTGATAGAGCATCAGAAGTTAGTAAATAAATAAGTTAATTCCATACAACTTTCCTACAAATTGCTTAGAGGACTCTTTCTCAATCTTTCAGTAACTCTAACTGCCATGCATTATCATTTGTTCTCTCGTATGCTTTCATTATGTACATAATGTACCTGTGAACGTGAAGATTAATATTTGAATTCTTTAATATATCCTTTATCCTTTACCTTGGTTGTTTTATACATGCAAGTCCAAAAAACCACTATGCTCCATCTGTAACTAAGCTTATGTTTAAACCATTTAAGCATTCTAGAGAATCAAATATTCCTTTTTACTTCTTGTTAACAGTCCAGAGCTCCTCAAGTCCAAATAATTTATTATTAGGTGAAACATATCCATGTTAATGTGGAGTAACTAAATCCCACTTATTTTTGGAACAATATTTTAACTTCTTCACTCTGACTACCTGAATTATAAACATTTTCAGGATGGTATTTGTATAGAATACACTTTTATGAGGTCTCTCTCAGTTGAATTTATTATTGGTTATTTCCATCTTCCCAAGCTCTTTGCCATTACTTAATTTTTACTGTCCTTGCCCCTAGCTCCATTAAAAAATTAGGGGGGGTTTACTTCTGAAGCACCTGCTTTTGATATATCTAGGTGTTTATTTCTTCCTATCTAATTGGCTGATACTTTCTCAGCTTGAGAAAGGCTGCCAGAGTTTGAGAGTGTAGGAGGATTCTTGAAATGTCACTTCTAATGGTATTTGACTGGCAGATAAGATAAAATTGTAACTCCTGTGCTGTCCTTAATTACTTGAACAAAATTCAAGATATAACATCAAACCTACTGTACTTTCTAAATGAGGACAGTAATTCCTTGTAAGAGATTAATATTTGCTATTGCAAATGCTAATTTAACTCGTAGGTTGGTGAATAATATGGCTTTATTCCTCTTTTATTCTAATATTTTCCCAATATTTTTTCTTTTCCAAAGAAATAATGCTACAGAAAATTTTAATAAGTAAAGTTAGTGCTTTCAAAGATAAACAGTTAAATAAGAACAATTATCTTTTTATTTATCATTTTCTTGCTTTCATTAGTCTGTAATATCTATATAATTCCAAACTAACTTGATAATATTTGATGTAGGGTATCCTTAAGTACTTGATTTAAGCTATTTGGACTCAAAATAAAAGTCCAAAATAGTTTAAAACAAGTTATTTCTGCTTGTTGTATAGTAAACAAGTAAAGAGGAAGTAAATGTAGGGATGGCTAATATCAATCCTTTAAAAAAAAAGTGCAAACAAGATAGTAGGCACACAGTGTAGTAGAATGTTAACAGACAAAAATAGGATGTGCTATTATGTAGGGATGATGCACTCTTTTTTTGAAGGATTGATATTAGCCATCCCTACATTTACTTTATTTTTTAAAGTTTTTCTTTACTTGTTTGCTTGTTTTTTAATACAGTGTTTCAATAGACATAGGAAGGTTGTATTTAATACCAAGTTTTAAACATAATAAGGTTCCAACTGTAATATTTATT